TCCAGTTCTACAGCGGGGTAACTAATCAAATCAAGTTAAATTTCTAGCAATAACTTGTTAGCATAATATTGTCTGACCCTTTTTTTTTAATAATCTATAGGGTGTTTTTGATGGACACTGTGGAACTGCCTTGGATCACGGAGTTGCAGCTGTCGGGTATGGATCAGCCAAGGGCATGGACTACATCATAGTGAAGAACTCTTGGGAAGCAAATGGGGAGAGAAGGGATTCATCAGGATGAAGAGGAATACCGGGAAGCCAGAAGGTACTTGTGGTATCAACAAGATGGCTTCTTATCCTACTAAAAGCAAGTGATCAATTGATTAACTATAACTCATCAGTTTCTGGTAGTTTTCCTGCCAATTACAGGAAACTATATCTATGACTAATCAATCGTCTTGTGTATTTCATGCTACTTGTTTCGTTTAAATTTCATTTGACATACATTGTAATTTCTTTGTAATTCAAGTTTAATTACTTAATAAGAAAAACAAGCATTTATTTATATTTGGCGCCCTACTTCCCTTTCAATAACCTTTCCATCTTAAAACTAAGCTAATATAAGAGCAAATAAGTTCAAATAAGGGTCAATAAGATTAGACAAGAGATACAAAGGCGAAAACAATGAAACATATCTATACTTTGCTGTTGTATCATCATCATTGCATATCCATCCAGTTCTAATTCGTCCATTGGTTGTATTCAATGGGACTTATGCATCAAAATGAGAAATCATCACCAAATCGCTAAATATATATATTATGAATAACATGAATTGTAACAGTTCTCTTGATTATTCATATTTCCTATCTAAAAATAATATAAAAGCACTACTAGACTCGAATCAATAATTAAGCAGGAAGTAGAACTTGGTCAGGAGCGTGTATTTGAGCACCAGACTCATCGCGAGGCCTAACCAATTCATTGGCTTCGTTGATCTCATTCAAGCTATTTTCTATTTCGTTCTCTTCCAATGACCTTCCTTTAGTCTCAGGAGTGAAGAAATAAGTCACTACAGCTCCAATAAGAGAAATCACACCATAACGATCAAGTAACGACCAGTCTTTCCGGTGCATTTGTAGTCTTTCTCCTTATCTTCAACCCACAAAAACGCAACTGAGCCAATAATCGCACCCACTTTTCCTGCAGCCCCAGAGAACCCATGGCATGTTGCCCGAAACCTTGCAGGAAAAAGCTCAGCAGGAACAATGAAAGTGGTGGTATTTGGGCCGAAGTTGGAGAAGAAGAATACAAAGCCATAGAGGAACATGAAACCTATTTTTATCACCATTAAAAAGAACAATATAAGGCACTCCGATGGCAAATAAGAAAATAGCAATAAGAGTGAAACCCATCATTTGGATCATCCTTCTCCCAATTCGATCAATAAAAAAGACAGTAGCCCAGTATCCAGGGATCACCGAACATACTGTTATGATCGCCTGAAGCCTGGCTACATTGTATGCGTCTTGAAAAGCATTATTTTTCTTGATTTCGTCCTTTGGAAGGATGGACTTGTATATGCAAGACTGGACGAGGGTGCTGCTGTAGAAGACTATGTCTAGTAGGAACCATGTGGCAGCACAGGAGAAGAGATGGTGGCCGTGAAGGTGAAGAAATTGCTTCGAGAAAAACGAATAAGTGGAGGGAGGTTGGAGGATGAGGAGGGAGGGGGTGTAGCCTCATCTACTATTTGGTTCATTTGGACATCCAGGACCTTCTCCATGTCCTTTGCTGCTTGTACCACATTGTGCTTCACCAAGGCTGTGTACCTAATTCATAATAGCATACGTTTCTCAATTAAGAGGTGAAGTCTTTTTTGCATAGTATTTTGCCTTAATATTTAAGCTACTACTATCATACAGAGGTACGGGATACCGGGATATTCAGCCACTTAAAAAATTAGGTAAGCAACTTCCTCCATTCGATAGTAAATAGAAGCTCACATTCACTCTATCATTGCCAATCAAACAACTGCACATACATTTTTTCTTCCCAAGAAATCATATATCAGCAAAACAGCTACTCAATGAGCCAACTGTTGGCTTGAGCAAGATCTATGCTAGACTCGGCAATCTAATGGGAATTTTTTGCATATGTTTCAATTAAAAAGATTGATGTCTATATATATGTTGATTATGCAGAATCTCATAGTGTGCTTGTGAAGATAAAGAGGAGTTGAACAGAGTTTCACAGTTGTGAAACTTGACATGTTAATAGTTATCCACATAAATGAATAATCAGATCAGATTAGATTAGATATAAGTTGATTAGAGGTGGATACCTGGCGGTTTCAGGCATCATCATACGCCAATAGAAAGTTATGGCAGCAGGGATGGCACCAAAGCATAAGTATGATCCGCCATGCTAAATCAACCGCCAAAGCATGCGACTTATGATCTTTCGAGGCGTTAGTGGCCTGGATAAAGATAGCACAGACAGTCATTATCACCATGGAGCTAAACAATATCCCAAACCCCTGCATGGAGAACACAGCCGCAATAAACGCTCCACGAGTCTTCTTGTTAGCAAACTCAGACATGATGGTAGCAGAAAGAGGATAATCCCCACCAATTCCTACTCCAAGGAGGAACCTGAAGAAGGCTAAGCTAAGGAGGACGCACGTCTTAGATTTACAAATAGAGAAACCACACCCAAAGGAAGATAAAACCATGAGGGCTAGAGCCAAGCCGTAGACTTTTCTACGGCCAATCCGGTCCCCAAGGATACCAAATACAAGCTGGCCAAGGGCAGTCCCAAGGAGAGCGACAGCTACCATGGCGGATATGACAGCAGCCGGGATGTGAAACTTCGGTGTCTGATCGTGGTAGTAGACGTGGCCAAGGAGGATGGTAACAGGAGGAATGCAAAAAAGATCATAGGCATCAGAGAAAAGGCCCATCCCAGCTATAATAATGGCCTTAAAGTGGTAATATTGTGTCTTAGCTGTGTCTAAAGCTGATAAAACTTTCAGCCCCATGCTTTAATTTTGTAGTTCTATCTTAAAACTATATTATAGTTCAAAATATATATGATTTGGTGATCAAAAAATTATGGAGAAGAGCTAAAAGAAAGCAAGAAAAATTAAATTAATTTGGAAGGTGCTCTCTGCTAAATTGAGTGATGAAGATGACAGATAGACAATGAAGTTTTCTTAATGTAATGTTAAACATGTGATTAATATATAATCAAGATTTTTCAAAGGATTTGAGGGTAGACTTTGACTTGTTTGGTTGGTTGTTAGTCCTCTCTCTTTCTCCTGCAATGGACAGTAGGAGATGTCCTACTGCAATGGTTGACTCTTATTTCAAATGGGTTTGATTTTTCTTTTTAACCATAGTATTATGTAAGTACTCCTTTTTAATTTCTTAAGAGAATTAAAAGGCTTATATTTCTCTAATGTGATCAATTTATCATATAGCTAGGGCCAATTGTGTTGTCAACAATACAATCGAGATTTTTCTCAAGAAAGCAAAAGTTGAAATCGACTCTAGTTTGTAGCAAACCCTCAATGATTACGTGAAACTAAGGTGACTTTTCTATTACGAAGGATGACTTCTTCCAACGTTTTTTGTAAGGATAAAAGTAATACTTTATACTTCACACTCAACTTTTGGTGTAGGGTAAATACTAATGTATTTTTCAAGTTCTCCCTGAGCTCAATTTCTAATCAGCTAAATCGAAGCTGGTGGCGCTATGCTACTCCAGTAAGGGTGTAAGGCAGTCTACCGTCGTCTCACGTACATGACTGCTAGGAAAAGCATATGCGGAGTAATTGGTAGAGGAAGTTGCTTTGAGTCTTCAAAAAATCGTCAAAAGCAAGCCCAGAACATGGAAAATGAATTCTAGTATCAATCCGGCACACCCCTAATTCATGGAAAATGAGTATTACTACTGAACTTCTCTAAAAGATTTAAAATTATTATATGTGGGCAATGAACATTTTAGGTAAATGATCATCTTTCTATTCATTTTGGTAAAATTATTGCCCCTCTTCTGCACAGACCTAAAATTTCTATTGAACGACAGAAATAATCCACCACGATAATACATTATAAATATATATAGAATAAGAAAATAAATTCTTACATTCTACCAAAAAAATTCATGCTATTGGGAGCATCTTATGCGGCACGTATAGGAGTGAAATTGGTATCTCGGTGTATGTTTGTTACAAAAGTCACCTTTCCACATACACCCGTTCTTGCACAAGCGTAGGTCTCGTATCACCGCCCTCGATGATCTCGAGCGCACCATTATATTGTTGACATTCTTCCATTATGTTTTACGTAGATTGGATTGTATTCTCAAATTTCATGGCTTTCCTCGAGTTACATTATTGAAAACCAAGGGAATATCATCTACGTAAAAAATAATGGAAGAATATTTGGCAACTTAAAATTGTGAATATCATCTCTCATAATACGTCATGAAATTAACCACCGTTTCAGGCGATTTGTTAGTATCCTAATACAATAATACGAATCAAAGGTAGGCTTGATAAGTTATAGGCTCTTCCCAAGATACAACATATGGAAAGGGAGAGGTGCAGAAAAGTCTCTAACCTGTTCATCAAATCCACGATAGCTGAAGGCCGTGTAGTCAGGGGGAACCCACTTCACATGTGGATCAATTTGTCTGCTTGCTTAGTTGTGTTTTAGCAATTAGTAAGCAGATATATGAAAGGAGAGGAGAGGCAAGCAGGGAAAAAAGGCTTGCATATTTCCTTACTATTCTTCCTCACACCAAAAGGATTTAGTACATTAAAAGGGTAAGGAAAATGGATGCCCAAACCCTTCCCTTTCCCGATTTTATATGCAAGAAAGGAAAAATAGTTGCCTCTCTTGCTTACCCTCCAAATTCCTCATCCAAACATATTGTCAAGAATCAAATTGGAATCCACTACATCATACCGAAATAAACAACATTTTTCATGTAACTGACACAAAAGGCACGAGAAGGAAACAATATGAAATTTGATCACATTATATCACTAATACTAATACCAATCCATAAACCATAGCCAAACATCTATAATTAGCTCCAAGCAGAAAATCAACTGCAATAGTTTAGCCAAGGCCCACCAGGTCATGAGTGGTGTCCAATACAATTAAGAGTCAAATAGCCAAGACCAGCGCAAGTTTGTCACATCATTTAGCAACACTATCAACTAGTATCCAGCTAATCCATTGACTAGTTGGACTGTGCTAATCCGTTAAACTAACAGAATACATACCTTTACATGCACATTCAGCAGCTACTACACAGAATTGAGAAGCGGTTCAGCTCACGCAGGAATTGCAGGATCAAACTGATTACCACATGGGGGTACACCAGGTGCCTTGTATTTCATCACAACTCCCTCCAGGATACCATCTGACCTAAAAGTGGGTGAGAATAACCTTGGGTCAACAGGACCAGGCAACTTGAAAGAGATGGAGAATGGTCCAGGTGGGCTCAACTGTGACAAGCTCAGGTGGTACACAGTTTTAGGATTCTTTTTAGCTAGTTCTCCCCCTGTTATGTTTCCTTGAAGATGAACCTTCCCATCACGTTCAATCTCACAGCTCAAGTCACCTGCACAACAGTACAGCACAAGCGGGCTTTCAATATCACGACTACTATATGATTTAACCCAATCGGGTTTTTTTTTTTTTTTCAAAGTTTTGAAATGACTAATGCACAACAGTTACCAATGCAAAAAGATAAATTTGTTAGCTATGTCAGCAGGTTCGTCATTCCTCAACTTAATGGGTTTTGATCAGATCACCAACCATGTGACAAGTCAAATTCAGATTCTGATCATAAATTTATATGGGTCAGGTTCAGAAATTTAGGTCCGCACATTTCAGATTATACATAAAGAACTTGGGTACTTGACCACAATGCCAAGCCATTGTAATCTAACTGCCAGCTCAACACCTCCTTCACCTTCTCCAAAAAGGAAGCCAAAAGTTATAAGAGTGAACAAAGGTAAAGGAGAGACTTACAATTGTCCTTTCTAACACCAGGAAGTGCAACTCGAAACAAGTAAGCTGATTCACTTATTCCAATGTCAACATGACCAATAGGAGGTCCAGCTGTTCCATCTCGAGCTGTTCCAGTTAGAACAACTTGGGTTGTGTCTGTCTTGGATTGAAGTGTAGGATTCTCTCCCATATCAACTCCGCCAACTTTGGTAGCTATGAATTTATACTAAATTTACACCTGCGAAGTGTAACCAAGCAATATCAAACCATCAATCCCAAATTGAATTTTATCAATGATAACTAGTCAGTTAACTACACTTGAAACAAAGTTGGAGACTGAAAGAAGACAAATTTAAAACAGCATTCACATGTCAAGAAGCAAGGATCTTAAATCAAACAGGGTTAACAAAAAGTTAAACTACACTTGAAACAAAGCTTGTGACTGAAAAAAGACAAAATTAAAAACATCCTTCACATGTCAAGAAGCAAGGATCTTAAACTAAACAGGGTTAACATATAGTTAAATCATTACTTTAAAATTTTTAAGCATGGTGTACGTAGTTGTATACACAAAGCAAAGTATGATATAAAGCAAATAAGCACCTGTAAACTGTTTCCTCATGACCTCCCCACTCTCCCAATTGTCCCCCTTTGTCTTTCTAATAAGCAGTTGTCAAGACACTCAATGTTCTGGGCCAAAAGACGAATGATAAAAATGCATATTCATCAATAGACAAAATTTACACGCATATTCAGGAGAGTAATTGTTCTTCCAAGAGGTAGCAAGTGAGGAACATATGTCTTAGATTGATTGTTGGAAAAGATCTCGGCAAATATTAGTTTACAAACTAGAAATTCAGGAGATAGAGTTTATAGCATGAAAAGTCTAGAGAGAACATCTTGACTCCACATGTATGTCATTATGTCAATCTCAATCAATTCTCCATAACCTAGCATCCTGAGAAATGTTTATCATAGATGACTGCTTAGCCATTAATTCACCAACACTAAACCAACCTTGGTGCACAAAGCTCACAGCTATTAGGTCTAGAGCTAAAGATCTTCAAACCAACAAAAACCAAACTCTCTCAAAGGAGCGACCTCATTAAACCAAGGGTGTCTTTACTATAATGGGAGCCCTGTGAGATAAATATGAAATTGGGCACTTGATTCATAATTGAAGCAATACTAATAAATAATTTTTTTTTAAGATAAAATACATCTCAAATATACCAAAAAATTAAATAGTTTGGGAATTAGATAGGGAAGAAAAATACGATGCACATAATAGAAACATAAATGAGGTAAAGGATGGCAATGGCATTTGGAGACAAGAAGCATAACTACGAAGTAAGCATAGTGGTTGGATCCTTTCAAAGCACCTCCTACATATTCGAACTCACACCCTTAATAATCAGTTTAACTGGCATTTGCATGCATATCATTAAGTCAACTCTGAGTACTTGTTTTCTTGCTGCAACAATTAGTATCAAACCTATGATTGGAGGCCCCTTTTTTGGGTTGGGTCCTGCAGTTGCTATGATTACAGGTTTGAAGCCAGCCATGCATTTATTCCCCTCAAGTTCTTGAAATGAACCTATTCAATAGCTAAATTTTTTCTTAAACAAGTTTTAGGTGCAATTTATGTGAACATAGGTATTGTGAATACTATGGTCAAATGAGATAAAATTGAAAGGAATCGCGCATATGATGCTTACAGTAAAACCCCACAACAGTATGTCAATAATCAACCAAATATGAACACAGGCATTGTGATCTAATGAGTGACAAAAAAAAATGGAATTTACCATGATCACATGACTAAATCTTTTGCTAACACATATTGAACAAAACACGCTTGAAAAACAAAAAAGGCTATACATCATCAAAACTCAAAATGCTAATGAAACAAGTTTCTGCATGGCTTTTCTCCAAAAGATTCACATATAAAAGTTGAATTAAAACCCCTCATCTCAATCAATCTGTCAACACTTCAAGAAGACCTAAGCAAACACATTAGCTGTGTGCCTGTGTATATAATCCTCATTGCACTACCATTCAATAATGAGAAGCTAAGTTTTAAAAACCCTAATTACACATAATTTAATAAATGTTGGGCAATAATGCAATATAACCCACATTTTCTCTAAACTAATTGTTGGCCTACGCTTAAGTCTCTCAATTTATAGAAACGTAATCATTGAAGTTAATAGAGAGGAATATCAAGTATGTATTTGAATTAGATTAGGATGCCATTTTTTGGGGGTGCTTTTAATGAAAAAGCAGCTTGTTTGTATTATTATTTATAAAAATAAGCACATCTTACAAACTAGTAAAGTAGCAACATGCCATCTTATAAGATGGAAATATTGTTTAGAATTAGGACATAGTCTTGCCTATAGACAATCCAAATTACAACAACAACAAAGCCTTGATCTCAAAAGGATTTGAGGTAGGCTGACATGAACCGTCATTCAAAACTGTCGGTCCAAAATGCAAAATGCGAGAAAAATTTAATGCATATTAATACAAGCTTCAAAAGCTAGTATCGTTCTTTTTAGGGCTCACAATACAACTCCTACCTTGCTAACGAAATTCTCACTAGCATAAAACCCTTTGACATAAATTTTACAAATAACAAATTCAACAAGTTGATCTAAGATTAAATCCACGCCACAAATACATATCATCACCAAAACCTGTAAAATAGAACCTTCCTTCCACATTCTCAACAATGAGCAAAACAAAATAAACATACAAAAGGTCCATTTTTACAGTTCTATTCCAACATAAAAGGGTTCTGCAACGCATTAGAAACCAATTTGACTCAATTATCAAATTAGTCTCCAAAAATCACATTGAATTCTGCCATTTTATGAATATCAAAAGCAAAATTCCAGTAATAAAATTGCTCGTTATAATCTTTCACAACTTCGGTAATTACAACAAAAACTTCAATAATAGACCATAGAAGAACCCTAATTTCATAATACTGGCAATTAAATCAACGATAAACCCTACATTTCACAATCTTACTACCTTTAAAAGCCATAGTACCTTGGGAATGGGTTTGTGCACTAAATTGTGAAATTAATTTTTGGAATTAACGAAAATGAAAAGAATAGAAGAGATATTTACCTGAGAAGGTGGTTTAATGGAGGAGAGAAAGCTCAGAAGGCGCTTCAATGGAGAATTCAGAGTACGCTGCACTACAATGAAGGAGAGAGAAAGGAGTGCAGCGTAGAAGTGAAAAGGCTCAAAGGAGAAAGAGAAATTGGTGGAAAATTAATGTTACGGAAAGTGGTTAACACTTTTTTTTACTCCGTATTGGTGGAAAATTGGTGTAGATACCGAAATTGGTGGAAAATTGGTGGAAAAGGCTCAAAGGAGAAAGAGAAATTGGTGGAAAATTGAATTTACAGAATTGATTTTTACTGATTGGGCTGTTCCATTTCAGATACGGAGGAGGTATCAAACCGATCCGATTCGGTCCGAAATTTTAAATTATACTGGGTAAAAGATACAATCAGTATTTTAGTTCAATCCGAAATTTTGAATTTGAAAAAAATTTGGGGTTATTAGATTTTTGGATCGGGTCAATCCGAAATATTTGAAACCATAAAAACATATACGAGTATAAAAAAAAGCACTCTTATGGCTTTGTTTTCATAATTTTAAGCAAAATTTAAGTCCAATCCAAGACCGATTTCTAAAGGCTTTTGAATCAAACCAAACTAGATACCGAAATTTTTTTTATTTCTTGACTCGGTCTTGAATCGGTTTTCTTCGGTTTAATCTAATTCAATTTAGTTTGGATCGGTCTTTGAACACTCCTACTTGCAGAGTTGCAGTGGAACACTTCCTCACTCTTTTTACCATTGCATCTGACCTATACATTGTATCTCTAGCTGAATCTACTTATTTTTTGTATGACTTATACCAGGCGCCCCTTCATCTAGTGGTGGATCTTAGATCGAAAAGTTTGGAGGAAAGGGGGGAGAGACAAAGACAAAAATTAAGTTTGACCTTAAAAAACCCGCCAAAGGAAATTGCTGCCTTCCCCAACTAAGAGACGCTTGTGACCTTAACTCAAGTTTATATGAAAAGAAATCTAGTTACCAGTGATAATTAAATAATAAGATTGCAAACAATATGTTGGAACAAAGTGGTTTTAAGTGTGAATTTGTGAAAATGGTAAAGTCCCACATTGGTGGAAAATGAAACTCTTGCTTGGTTTATATAGGTGTATGTCACCTAAAGGGGTGTGGCCCTTGGGCTACCCACATTTTGTGGAGAGGAAGGACTTACCTACCAAACCAATCTAACACACACACGCGCCGAATCGGGCCGGGCCGGGTTGGATTTCTTAAACAAATTTATATTTTTTGAACAAGGATTAATTCCTTGATTTTGTAACTGATTTCATTAATAAATATTTAGCTGTTACAGCCTTCAAAATCTGTCCGTTTTTTTTACTGTTTGGCAACGGTTATTTAACGTGATTTCAGCCCTTAATTAAGCCCGTTAATTACTTGGTTAAAACCGTCCAGGTTCATCTTCCATCCAATATAAATAGCTGCTCTCCCTCACTGAATTTCTACACACAAAAAAATCAAAAACTATTTTTCAGAATTCACAAAACGTTTTACAGTTTACATTTTTCAAAAATAATTTCCACAAACTCTTTCTGAAATTATTCGAACATTGTTCCTAGTTTTGGTGTTTCGTTGTCCGGTGGCTCTATGCAAATCCATCGGTATATCTTTTTGTTACGAGAGACTGTTTTATCCTGGGGAGCATCCGGTTATTGTACGAGCTGCTTGCACACATTAAAGGCAGTACCGTGAATGTTCTAAAGAGAGCGACATAGTCCGCGACTCAGTCTTATTCCGGTAACATTGTTCTGTTTTATTGCTTACAGCAGTTCGGTTTACAACAATTTTAGAACAAGCTTTTCTGCCTTTCGTATTACTATGTCTACCGACGATATGACTATGTCCAATGACCTTAACAAGCCCTTCCGTTTTGAAGGTGCTCATTTTAAAAGGTGGAAACAAAAAATGCAATTTTCCCTCACTGTTAAGAAAGTGCATTCTGCCTTGACTGTCCCTAAGCCTGTTATTCCTGATAATGCTGAACAAGATGACCTAGTGTATTGGAATAGTGAAATCGAAACCTGGAATGAAACTGATTTCATGTGCAAAAATTATATTCACAAGACTAAGGAATTTTCCTTAGAGAGTTTGATCACTCAGCTCCGTATAGAGGAAGAATCCAGAAAATAGGACCAGAAAGAAGAAGTCTTACAGCTCACTGCAAACAATGCTCCTAAGCGATCTGCTACAGTTCTCAAGCCTGCTGGTAAGAACTTCAAGCCTCAGAACCGGAAGAATAACTTCAACAAAAATAAATCGAATATTCAAAAGAACAATGGAAAGCAACAGATTCAACCCCCTAAGAATGGTACTGGTCAATTTCTATGCTATAGGTGTGGAAAACCAGGCCATATGGCACGAAAGTGCAGGAACATGCCTAACCCTGTACCACGGGCTAGCATGATAGAAGAGCCACTCGTGGCTATGATTACTGAGATCAACCTTATTGGTGGATCAGAAGGGTGGTGGGTAGACACTGGCGCTACACGCCATGTCTGCTATGATCGTTGAATGTTTTAAACATATTCTGAAAACACCGATGATAAGAAAGTGTTGTTGGGTGATTCCCATTCCACTAATGTTGCTGGTATTGGTAATGTTAAGTTGAAGTTTACTTCTGGCAGGACTCTCATTCTGAAGGATGTACTGCACACTCCGGAAATGAGAAAGAATTTAGTTTCTGGTTTTCTTCTTAAAAAGGCTGGTTTTACACAAACCATAGGTTCTGATTTATTCACTTTAAATAAGAATGGAATGTTTGTAGGAAAAGGATATGCTACTGATGGCATATTTAAACTGAATGTTGAGATTAATAAAATTTCTGATTCTGCTTATATGTTGTCTTCTTCTATTAATATTTGGCATGCTAGACTTTGTCATGTGAACAAAAGACTTATAAAAAATATGAGCAATTTAGGCCTTATTCCTAATATTTCTCTCAATGACTTTGATAAATGTGATTTTTGTAATCAGGCTAAGATTACAAAAACACCTCATAAGTCTGTTATTAGAAACTCAGAACCGTTAGATTTAATTCATTCTGATATTTGTGAATATAATGGAACGTTGACCAGAAATGGACAACGATATTTCATCACCTTTATTGATGATTGTTCTGATTATACTCGTGTTTATTTGATGAAAAATAAGAGTGATGCTTTTGATATGTTTAAGTTGTTTGTGACAGAGTTTGAAAATCAGTTCAACAAGCAAATAAAAAGGTTACGTAGTGATCGTGGAACTGAGTATGATACTGATGCTTTTGTAGAGTTTTATAATTCACATGGTATCATACATGAAAGGTCAGCTCCTTATTCTCTAGAAATGAATGGTAAGGCTGAAAGGAAAAATAGAACTTTTACTGAGTTAGTAGTTGCTATTTCCTTAAATTAGCAACTGTTTGTACCACAGGCTAGCATGATAGAAGAGCCACTAGTAGCATGATAGAAAAATTTTCCCGCCTTTTTTGCTTCTCTCATTTTTATTTATTTATTTATTTATTTTTGCAAAATCATTAAGTAAACTATTTATATCTTATGTATTTTCTTTCCAGTTTGACAATAATATTCCATTTATACCCAAATGAAATATTTTTTAATATCTTTTACATACTTTATATTTTGTAATATTATTGTCAAAAATATTAAACAACCGTACATTGCACGAAATTTTAACCTAGCAGAGTAATATGTAAAAACAAATGCTTTTAGATTTTATTTCAATGCATGTATACTTTAGTTTTTAGTTGACAATATTCAAAATGACGAGCCGTCAAAAACAATATATGATCGCCACCATAAATCTATTCATGTACCTCGCTATCAAGCAGAGAATCATCATCAAGCATATCATATAGAGCTATTTCTAGTTTAGTTTTCCATATATAGTCTGAAGCCTTAACTTAGATGCTTAAATTAGTTTAGTCTTAGCATACATCTTCCGTGAATCCCCTAATCCTCTTCTCTAATTGTAACGACAATGATGGAGGTAATCATTTTTCTATCATGTAGACTAACAACTGTCTAGCCTAAACTTATCTTTTTACAATTTTTGTATATGCTTCTCAGTTAAATGTGTTATATTTAGTCTTAGCTGTATTGGGTAATACCGATACTGATATGGATTTAGTAAGCAAGCCCGGGTTTTGATGTATGGATCATCTTCAATACCGGCCCAGTATTATATCACCTATCTCATCAGCCTCGTGGAGAGCTGCTTACGACCACGTGGACACCCACCACCCACTTGACAAAAATTGCTACATGGACATTTGGGGATTTCTATAAACATACCCAAGCATATTTCATTTCTAAGTTATAATTTTCTTAATCTAAACTCTCCTAAACCACCTTTCTTACTCGTATCATCCCAGTTACCGACTTTATTATCGGAGCTGTTATCCTTGGACAAACCCCAAGGACAGCTAATCTGCGTTGACTTTACAGGTACTCAATTAAACGATAAACCTTTATCGATTCAGTTACAAGTTATCAGAGCTCACCCAGAACATTATCATACATCTTTCATGTATTTAACCCTTGATCATCCTTTCCAATTGTGGTGTCTAACAATTGTTTAGCTTAAGCTTATCTTTTTGGGAAGTACAATTTTTTAAGTGTGCTACTTTATGTTGACTTTATAATATCTCCAATTTAGTTTACTTTATTATTGGCCCATACCCCTTCATTTCCTCTAGCTGCTTTAATTGGTAATTTTCATAATGATTACTTATATGTTGGTGAGTCTTTGTTAATAAAATCAATAACCTTGGACGTACCCCCAAGACACTCCCGACCCCAAGTGGTAGAATGTCAATCACTTATCGGCAATTTTTCACCCCGACAATAAATATGCAAAAGCTAAATAACACAGAGTATAAGATAACTAAAAGTACTACCTCTAGGTCGCATTACTTGCAACAAAAGGGTATTATTTGTGAGACATAAAATATTTCTTTATTGTGAGTAATGCAAACCAAAGGTAGTAGAAAATATTAGATTGAAATACACACATTAATTACACTAGCCGACACATAATTTAACATGCATTCTAAAATTAAGGCCTTGTTTGGTAAATGGCTTTTGCTTGGCTTTTTGGTTGACTTTTGGCTTTTCATCTTGGTCAAACAGTCAAAAGAAGTGTTTGGTAAATGACATTTTTGTTTGCTAAAAAGCCGGCTTTTCCGCCAAAAATAAAAGCTAGTCTTACCAACTTTTTGGTATTGGCTTTTGGCTTTTTACCATTAAAATTAATTTTCTATCCTTTCTAATTAATAATTACTAATTAATAATTAGTAATTAATAACTAGTAATTAATATTTAATAATTAGTAATTTTATTATTAATAATTAGTAATCAATTATTAATAAATAAATTTAATTTTTTTAATAATGATACTTAACTATTAATAACTAATAATAATTAATAATTAATCATTAATAACTAATAGTTAATAATTAACAACTATTAATTATTAATTTGTAATATTATTATTTGCAATGCATATTACAAAAATAATAATATATATCACTGCCCTTAAAAACCATTTTTTATATAAAACAACTAACATCTAATTTTACCAAACATATTTATTAACAATCAATAGTCAATGAACCAACATTAAAAACCAATACAAACAGCTGGTTAGACCAACCACGAGAAACTAGCAGCATCCAACCGTCAAAAGCCAATTGCCAATAAGTCCTGATACAATCGTGAAAATGGGGGCGGTGTTATCACGATCCTTATTTACAACGGTGAAAGCAACAAGTTGAGAAAATGATGAATTAATTAATGTGGGAATAGGTGAATGGATTACAGGTCTAAGAATAATGAGTAATTAACTCGAAATGAAACAAATGTCCATAAAATTCTGAGAAAATAGGAGGGATCATCATATCATATTTTCATAACTTACACAGTAACTAAGTAGACGACTAGTAGCCTTTCAAAAAAAAAAAAAGTAGACGACTAGTACAGAGTACAGAATAAGACGAGAGGGAAATGCATTTGAGCGAGAATGAAGGGATCGAAGGGAAGACGATGGTCGTCACCGGCGGTTTAGGGTTCGTCGGCGCAGCTCTCTGTCTCGAACTTCTCCTACGAGGTGCTCGCCATGTTCGATCTCTTGACATCCGCTCAGATTCTCCGTGGTTTTCTCAATTGTCTCTTCACCCTAACTTTGTCTCCATCACCGGTATTCTACTCTACTCTTCTCTTCAATTTTAACTTTGGTTATTCTGTTAATGATCATCAATTTTGATTCATTATTTGGTTTTGTGGAATTACTAGTATACTGTAATCTGATGAACTATATATGATGATCAAATTGTTGTGATCAGTTGATTTTATTTTTGGTATTGGATTTTAGAGAGTTGGGGTGTTGGGGATCTTAGCAGAATATGCTTGTTTAAGGGATGAAATGAAGTGAGTTTTATTAATATCCATTTTAAGATTCTTCTATGCTAATTGCACCTTCATAATGTATTCTTTTCAATCATGCTCTTTAAATACATCTGCTATTATATTACTCTCTGAATTCGTATTCATACAACAGGTTGCGCTTTATGAACCGAGATTATTAACTTATTAGTTATTGCAAATTGCAATTGTATTTGTAGCTTAAAACTAATGTTGTGTTGATATTTTGAATGGACAAATTGGAGTGCATGGATTGATATTTTGAATTAGAGAAAGTTTGTTTAGGCTCCATTTTATCAACTTATTGGTCTAAAAGCTCTAAATTTATCTAATTTCAATGTCAAATAAAATTTTCTTTTGTCTGTAATTGTCTAATAGTGTATTTTGCTTGAACTTATATGATTATATTTTGATTGAATTTATATGAACTTAAGCTTTCTAAATTAAGTCAAAATAAGTTGAACAAAACAAGGCCTTAGTGGCAATATATTATGGAAGTAGGAAATAGTTCATTAACCTTTTTTGTGATGCACATTTTAGAATCATCATCTGTATATTTTTTTTTTTGTGATGCTGGATTTAGAATCATCATCTGCATATTTATTAGTACTTTCATAACGATTCCATCTCATCGTTGCTAGTGTACAAACTAAACGTGTTTAAATCAATAGCTGCATATTATAGTAATTTCAGCATTAGTTAATACTATCTACGGAATAATACGTAACACTTAATAAACATTTAACATAGTCCATTGAAACATCCTATCATAGAAATGGGACAATTATAAGAAAAAGAAACAAAATTAAGTGAACTATGTAGGGCAAGAGAGAAAGAGTTACACTTTGTTTGGATAGAAGGAGATGGAAGGAAAAGAAGGGAAGAGAAAGGGAGGGGGACAAACTCTCTTGTTTGAGTAAAGGATTGAGGGAAGGAAGAGAAAGGAGAGGGACGGATCCATTTTCCCTCTCTCTTTAATAAGCATAATCTCTCTAAAATTGGAGAGATTTGGAGGGAAAATGGAGCTCACCTCCCCCTCCCTTTCTTTTCCATTCCCTTCCCATTCCCTTCCCCTTCTTTCCCTCCCCTTCCTTTCCTTATTTGCTATCCAAACAAAGTGTTAAGCACAATATCATCTGCAGTTTTCCTACTACTTTCCCAAATCTCTATTGAGAGTTTAGAAAAACTCCTGGAATTGTGCACCAGTCTTACTAAAAGACCCCCCCCCCCCTCTTTTTTTTTTTTTTTTTAAATAAATAAACTGTCAGTCTTTATAGTGCTTTGTGATATTTCACACTATCCTTGCAAAAATGATTGTTTTTTGAACCGTAGGGGACATTACGTGTCAAAAGGATGTCAAGAAGGCTCTAAAAGGGGCAGATTGTGTTTTCCATGTTGCTTCCTATGGCATGTCAGGAAAAGAAATGCTTCAATTTGGTCGCATTGACGAGGTTAATATAAATGGGACCTGCCTCATACTGGATACATGCATGGATTTTGGCATCAAGAGGCTTGTCTATGTGAGTACCTGCAATGTTGTTTTTGGAGGAAAAGAGATCATTAATGGCAATGAAACTCAACCTTATCTTCCTCTAGATGACCATGTTGATCCTTATGGACGCAGTAAATCCATTGCTGAACAGCTGGTCCTGAAGTACAATGGCCGCCCTTTCAGGTTAGAAACTTGTACCCTGCAGGTACAAAGATGCAGAATATTAGACACTAATAATCTTCACTATTATGTCACCAAGTTTTAGCTGCATTTCACGATGAAGTGATAAGTTGGTTTTTATGATTCAATAAAGGCTTGCTAAATTTGCCTATCATTCCTAAAGTTGTTGATGTTCAGTCTATGTATTTTGCCTCTTAATCATTGGTAAATTCAAAACGAGTTACCTTGACCCCAATACCTCTGACAAGTTTCCTACCTTGTCTAGACATTTGCAATAGTAACTTTACAATTGAAAAGTGACTTTTAGCCTTACACCTATCCCTACTAGGCGCAATGAGTATAACCCTTGATCCAAAGATAACAATTGACTAGACTATTACTTTATATCAGATAAAAAGTAAACAAAAGTTCGGAAGGAGTCTTTGAGTGGAGAAGTTGAAGGGTTCCTTGATTGTATATTTTGACTTTCCGTTCCTGGAATGCATTTCGAAGCAATTCTTGGTGCCCCTTTGAGATTATATTCCCCCCACTCCCCTCCCCAAATCCTGGTACAGAAGAGAGAAAAATTAACTCTTTCTTGGAGGAAGCAAGTAGTATAAACATCTAAACTATAACTATTTTTAATGAATTGCTTGCCCTGAAGTGAAAATGAGCAAATTAGGAGTTGGTTAGTCATAGCTTTTCCGAGAGTGATCTTTTTTTCTAGCTGGGATTTATATAGATGTTTTGTTGATGCTAGTAGCTGGCAAGTTTGTGGCAATAGACCTGAATGCAATTATGCTTCACAATTTATCCTTCTTTGTCATTCAGGGAGAAAAACAATGAACATCTTTACACCTGTGCTATTCGTCCTGCTGCTATCTATGGACCTGGTGAAGACAGACACTTCCCAAGGATAGTGAATAATGCAAAGTTAGGTATTCTGCTATTTAAAGTTGGTGATCCAACTATTAAATCAGACTGGGTTTATGTGGATAATCTTGTATTGGCTCTTCTATTGGCAAGTATGGGGCTTTTAGATGATATTCCTGGGAGAGAGGGATGCCCAGTAGCAGCTGGACAGTCATACTTCATCTCTGATGGTAATTTGTATAATTTGTCTAGATGTTGATAATTAAGCAATCATTTTTGTAGAACACCTCTGGCTCGCTTGATAAAGTCTCTGCTCTCAAATTGGCTTACAATGTAACCTGCCTTTTCTTGCCAATCATACTATATCTGAGCACTGCTTATATTATCCTTGGTTGAAATTGAGTAATAATATTTTAACTTTTGTTCTGCAGGGTGTCCAGTCAATATTTTTGAGTTCATCCGTCCTCTCTTGAGGAGCCTGGATTATGATCTACCAAAGGCCTCATTGACTGTACCCTCAGCTCTTGTGCTTGGAAATATATTTTGGTTTCTCTACACTGTTCTATACCCATGGCTTAATAAATCATGGATTCCACAACCATTGATTCTTCCTGCTGAAGTATACAAGGTCTTTATTCTACTCTCTTACGCTTTAATTTCCTTCTTTTCCTTGGAGATACCAAACCATGTATTTCTTAACCTGAGACCTTAGACCTTGAAGTGGTAATAAGCTGTTGGAGTTTGAAACGAACTACTAAAACATGAATATTCCTGTGTAAGGCGTTGAGTTATAGGACTTTCACTGTGTATGACTGCATAATTACCATAAAATTGTGTAAAAGGAGAAACTTAAGTTCATCTACATGCTGAAAAAAAACACAATTATACTTTCTCTACCAGAACAATAGGGTTGAATGAAAAACACAATACTTCACATCATGACTGAAGCATTAAAAGAACGAACTCGTTCCCTCCTAATGCTGCCTTTGAGTGTTTTCCTAAACTTAATACTTTGTTTGACTCTCTCTAACTGTTGATTTTATATTTCAAGATCAAACCCTGACTATGAGTTATATTTAATATACTTATTTTGTTTAAAATTATCCGGAAAAATAATGTGAAAGTACTAGTTGATATAAATGTCAGAATTATATATGCATATTATGATTCAAGAAATTTATACCTCATTTTTAAATTGCTACTTGAACGGTGCTATCATCATTTAAATGTAATGAAAGAGGATGTCCTATGTTATAAGACAATGTTTCATCTATCCAAAAAACATCACAGTATGCTGCATTGATAATGTAGAAACAATAAATGGGAGAGTATAAAGTGTTTTCTCTATATTTTCCCTCCTATGCTACAATAAGTAACAAGCATTTGCCAAGCAGAGAAAAGGATGCTGACAAAAAAGATCAAATCTGTCTCCTATTGACCTTTTTCTTTGTTTCAATTATTCAATATCCTTGTGTGAAGTTACAAATCATGTCCGTCGCCTTATCATTTTTGATCCATTAAAACTAAGCGTGCATTATCATAATAAATTTGATAATGGGTTTGCAAATTCATGTCCCGTGACAGGTTGGTGTTACACATTATTTCTCGTCGCTAAAAGCTAAGGAGGAGTTGGGTTACTTTCCGATGGTGAGCCCAAAGGAAGGCATGGCA